CAGCATTCGTACAAATACACAAATGGCCTGGTCACGATACACCACAAGCACCTTGTCATGCATCCGCAGAGAAAATTCTGGGCAGAAGAAATTCCCTGAACATCCCCGTTTTGTCTGGTGTTTGCTCAACATCCCCGTTATACCAGCCCAGCACGGGGATTTCTCACATCGCCCCGAGTAAGCGGGGGGAGCAGAGATTCCTGAAGCTTGTGATAAAGGGAGGAGGTCCTTGAAAGCAACACGAGCCTGCAGCAACACTATGTGCGCGCCAACAACAAAATGCCATCGTCACAAAAACCACAAGCATTGTGTGGAACAATGGTCACACATCCAGAAACTCCAATCAAGCCCATGGCGAACTTTGCTGTCAAGACCTTCAGCTGGGCTGAAGAAACAAAAGCAACTTGACTTTTCTCATCCCTTTATAAAATGCGCCCTCGGACCGCCCAATATGTGCATACGGTATATTGAGCAAGACATAGCTTCGCGAGAAAAACCAAACGATAAATATCAAATTGGAAGATCTTCTCTGGTCAGGGGAATGCAAAATTGTATCCTGGTCCTAGCCAGGCCCAAAGGCCTTCTTGGGTGCCAGTCTCAAAACAGCTGTTCTCCTACGGCCTTCCCTCATTACTTTGTATCACGAAACCCCAAGCCTACTACTCATAGTTTGGCTCAGAAGCTTCTGGTTTTCTTTCATTAGAATTTGCGCCAGGAGCTTTCCCGGAGAAACCTTGAAGCCTGTTGGATGTTGGATACGATACCTATTTGCGAAGGATGGTCCAAAACTTATAAACCTGTAAGCAGGCAAAGTAGCCAATGTACAAGATTTCACGGGCTGCAACACCGTCGTTTGTTTCTATTTTTTGTCAGGCCCCCAGACTTAAAGTTGACGGATTTTGTTGCTTGACCGTCCACCAGCAGAGCGCCATGAGGCCACCATCTGCTCAGGAAACAACACGGTGTATGCACGTAGGGCCTTGGCGGCCATAACCTCCTGTCATATCCTGTCCACATGGGGATGCCGGCGCATGAGGCGGCCAGCACGTTGGCTCGTGGTTTCGTCGGCGTACACCCCCACAAATCCAACGGCCGTCAAGGCTACTTGGGCTGTCTCAGCAAACTGTTTTGTTCAAAGCTCTACGCCTACACCAGCGCTGATTGTGCACCGTTCATTTTTCTGGGGTTGCTCTGGGTGCGTCCAGTCCTGAAAGCTCACGGCGCACGCAAGTCATTGCAAACAACACGCCATTTGCTTGGTGCCACATTTTGCGCTGCATCGAATTTTTGCAAGGGATCGCTTCGCATGTTCGTTCTGTCATGATTTGGCATGGCTGATTCTTGTTGGTGTCGCCAGTTTGAAAATCCGTGAGCAACATTGTTCCCATCTGAAGTCAAATTCAAGTCTGCTCCTGCTCCTCGTTCTCTTGTTCCTACTCTTGCTCTGTTTTTTCCTTTCACTACTGGAAATACCTGCGCAGAAAACCTTCCTTGCCAATCCGCGGTCCCAGCGCAGGGCATGGCGGGAAACCGAAATCCCAAGCAACCCGGCTGCAGGGAGCTAAAAAACCAATCTTCCCGCGCGTGGCGGGTGGATTCGCTGGCGGGCTTGCGCTGGGGCGCCCTCGTGGCGGCGCTGCAGAACGCGCAGCCTGTCGAGCCAACTGTTTTGGCCCGCTTGTACCGTGCCATCGCGGAGCTTGAGGCTGGCGATGTTTCTGGCCGCGTTTCCGAACGCGACCATCTCTGCTTGGCGGTGCTCACGTCGCTCCCAAACACCCCCGTGCCGCTGTCCACGGCCATGCGCATATGCGCGGACCCAGACGGTTACGTCTCAGCAGCAGCACAGTCCACATTCCTTGAGGGATTTGGCGGGGCATCCTTCGCGGCAGCTGCGCATGCCATGGCCGCGGACTTGCAAGCCGCACTCCAGCCACAGCCGCCGCCTGCGTGCCCCGCGCACGCCCCACAAACAAGCAGCCGACGCTTTCGCCGGGGGCGCCGAGGCCGCCCTGCCCAAGTGGCCGACCGGGACGGTTCCGGCCATAGCGAGGCTAGGCAGGACGACGAGCTGCCCAGGCCTGCGCAACCCGCCGTCGAGTGGGAACAGCTGGACGCCACTGACCTCGCGGCGGACCCGTCCCCACATTGCAGAACATCCCGCCGTTTCTGCGCCCGGCCGTGCGGCAGGCTTTCATGCTTGCCCTGAGGCAATTGCGCACAGCGTACGAAAGCGGCAGCGAATCACGAGGGTTCGGAGCGAGCATGTGTCCCGGACAGCCCGGCCCGGACGGCCCGGACGGCCCGGACATGTGGCCCGGACAGCATGGAAATCCGGGGTAGCTGTCCGGGCTGTCCGGGCTGTCCGGGCTGGGTGTTTTGTGGCCAACGCAGCAATCCCCCCTTTGTTCGTTTTAAGGGGGTGGGGGGGGGGTTTGGATGGCTGATGTTTGAAGAAGTG